GGCTCTAGCAGCTGAACAGACTGAGAAAGGTCACCTGAAGGTGGGACCTGAGCTGATGTTGGAGATATAGGAGAATTGTAACTGACCTAGCTCACATCCTTAGTGGCCAAGAGTAGACCCACTGTTTTACCAGAAAGATAAGCTTAAATTCTGGGTAAAATTTGAAATTTTTACAAAGGATGCCTTGTTAATTATGGCATTAAACTACTTTTATTATAAAAATAATTGTTGCAGTAATAATAACAGCTAGTATTTCTGTAACACTTCCAGGTTTGGGGAGCTTTTAATATACATTGTCTCACTTGAACTGTTTGGCATCCCTGCCCCTTATAATAGAGGAGTTGCTTAGATAGAACTGACATTTAGCTCTATAAATCTTTACTGGGTGGGAACTTGATCTACTTTTCTGGTATCCCAGCCCCACTCCCTTAACACACACACGCACTCACACGCAGACTCACACCCACATATACAGAGCACCATATATAGTGCTAACTAACCATTAGGGAGCTCAATAAACATTTATTACCGTAACTTGACCATGGCTCTATCTCTTCAGTCATATGACCTTATCCTAGACATTTTTTTAAACAACTGTATTTATTTATTTTTATTTTGAACTTAACAAACACTAAACAAAGTGCTAATTTCCATATAAAAAGTAGAACAGAAAAAGAGGACTATACACAAAACTGCAAATCTCTGTTGGTACAGCTTACATTTCTTTTCTTTTGTTTTTGATAATAATTTATTTTTCTCAATTATATGTAAAAACAATTTTTTACATTTTTAAAAAATTTTGAGTTCCAAATTCTTTCTCTCCCTCCTTCCTCTTCCCCATCCCTGAGAGAGGGTAAGCAATTTGATACAGGTTATACACATGCATTTAGTTTGTATTTCTTTTTAAGAATGTAATACATTTGTTCTGTAACTTTCAAAGCTGTCCTGCTTGTCAGTGCCTCTTTCCTTCCTTCCCTTCTGTATTTTTTTTAAAGATGCTTCAGTGACCCTCTTTCTTTTCTCCCTCTTTCTTACTACCTCATCCTCCCTCGGCCTCCCATTCCCTCATTGAGAAAAAAAGAAAACAAATAATAATCATGATCAAGTGAAAAATTCCTACACTGTGTCCAAAAATGTATGTCTTACTCTGCATCTTGATGCCATCATTTATGTTCAGAGGTGTTGTCTCCCAGACATCATACCAGAAGGCATCTGTTACAGTGATCGCTGACAGTAAGTGAGGGAAGGTATGGGGGGCCGGGGAGCTGTAGAGGGTAGCAGCCTCTAGAATAGGAGCCAAGTTTACAGCTGATGGTATATTTTCTACAGTACTTGGAGAGAGACTTCTCAAGAAGCAGGCTCTATGAGATAGAGAAAAGAATGAGAAGCTTAGCGAGTTCAGTTATAATCCTGGGTCCGCCACTAACTAACTATATGACTTTATCTCTCTTGGTCTCCAAAAAAATTTTTTGACCCTTTCTGGAAAATAAGGAAGCTGGACCCACTAAGCTGTCTATGGTCCCCCCTAGCTCTCATGTCCTGTGATGCTAAGAAGCATCTTCTTGGTTAGAAAAGAATGTTTAAAGTTTGACAACAGTCCTTTTGTCTTCAGGTTTCCTTGTGCTATATGATATACAAGTCACTTAACCCTGTTTACCTCAGTTTCCTCATCTGTAAAATGAGTTGGAGAAGGCAATGACAAACCACTCTAGTATCTCTGCCAAAAAACCCCAAATGGGGCCACAAAGAGTCAGACTACACTGACACCAACTGCCTAACCAACAATGATGTGTATGCTCCTGCTGGCCTCCCCATGACAGAGTGATGTTTGGAGCTGAGACTGCAATGTGTCTGAAAGGAAATGATAGAGAAAGGACTGTTAAAATGAGGATCAGCTACAAGTGGGGAAGTCAGTGGCTCCTGCTGTGAAGGCTCATGCTTCCTCCTTATGTTCTCTTCTAACCCGTCATCCTGTAATCCCCAGGACTCCAGCTTTCACGTGTCTGTTTTCCTGGATGACCTCTTTTCTCTCTAGTATACCTTCAATATCTCTTTCCCGTACACATAAGTGTCAGCCAACAAGCATTTTAAAGCACTTGTAGGTGCCGGGCACTATGCTACGTTCTGGGGAGACAAAGAAAAGCAAAAAATAGTCCCTTGCCCCCAAGGAGCTTATATTCCAATGGGGGAGACAATATGTATATAAATAGTTACATACAAAATGAATAAAGTGTAGATGAAAGGTATCCTTAGAAGGGAAGGCTCTAGCAGCTGAACAGACTGAGAAAGGTCACCTGAAGGTGGGACCTGAGCTGATGTTGAAGAAAGCAGGGATTCTAAGAGAATTTGTGTGTCTACCCCTGGCCATCTAGCTACCTCACAATGTCACATCATTGTAATACTCACTACCATGGTCGACATTTTAAAAACATATATTTTCTTTTTGCCTCAACCTTAAAAAAAAAAAAAGATCAATCTCTCTGGTTCCCCAATCCACAACCCACAGCAGCTCTGGTATCACAAAACTGTTTAGTTAACTCATTCTGCTCTATCCTCTGGGCAGTTATTGTTGGTGTCTTTGAGACAAAAGGTCATTGTTGTTAATCAGTCATATCTGACTCTCCATGACCCCATTTGGGGTTTTCTTGGCAAAAAATACTGGAGTGATTTGCCATTTCCTTCTCCAGCTCATTCTACAGATGAGGAATCGAGGCAAACAGGGTTAAGTGACTTGCCCAGGGTCACATGGCTAATAAGTGTCTGAGGCCAGATTTAAACTCAGAGAAAAGTCTTTCAGACTCCAGGCACAGCACTCTATCCACTGTGCCACCCAGCTGTTCCAAAAGGTCAGAGAATCATAGATTTTAAAACTTTAAATGACTCCAATGAAAGCTTGAAGTCACTTAATAGTAAGAGAAAAAAAGAGAAATGCAAATTAAAATAACTGAGTTTTTATTTTACACCATGCAAATTAACAAAGATGACAGAAAACAGCAAGGATCGAGTTGGGTGAGTGGGAAGACAGGCCCACCAGTTCAGTGTTGGTGATGCTCTGTGTGGGTCCAGTGTTTGGGGACATCAGTTGGGAATAATGCATACAAGAATAGTGCCTAAACTAGCCATATCCTTTGCTCCAGCCATCCCACTAATGAAGTTACGTCTCAGGGAAGTCAAAGACAGAAACAAAAATTCAATACGCATCAACATATTCATAGTGATAAACTTTATGCTATCAAAGAATGGAGATAGGATTTAAGTTTGGATCCCTGGACTCTAGAATCAGGGTTTTTGCTACTATGCCTCACTGAATCATAAGATCCAGTGTATTTATTTAAAAATTGCATTTGGCACTATTTGAAGTGATAGTAGATTCATCTTTAAGACTTTTTTTTTCTAATTATATTTAATGCACAAGTTTTATCCCTTTCTCAATTAAATTGTAAGCTACTTGAGAGCAGGGGCTATATCTCTGTCATCTTTGTTGAGGAATATAGAACAAAATTTCACGTTCATGATTGTGTGGAACTTAGATTCCCATTGAAGCCATTCCATCCTCCTTCCTTGTACTTGGGAGAGAGCCTCCTAGACTACATCTCCATGTCTGCGGGCCTCTCAAGCCACAATCGCTTTTTCATTCTAATTGGGTGGATGCTTTCAGACCAGGTTGCTGAAGAGAAATTACAAATCTAAGTTGCTGTTCTCTTTCCTTGGAATATGGGATTTGGAGTTGAAGGGAGCTACACAAACCTTGAGCTTAGGAAGAACATGATGAGTTTCAATTCAATGAAGCATAGGTTGGTCATGTGCTATGTGCACGGAACCCACTTTTGTAGGGAGGGAGATACAAAGGTGATTGCTGCCCTTAAGGAGATTATCGCTTAATGAGGAAGAGTACAAGTACACAAGAGGCAGCTAAGGGCACCATAGTGCACAGAGCGCCGGGCCTGGAGTCAGGAAGTCTCATCTTCCTGAGTTCAAATCCAGCCTCAGACACTTACTAGCTGTGTGACCCTGGGCAAGTCACTTAACTCTGTTTGCCTCAGTTTCCTCATCTGTAAAATGAGCTGGAGAAGGATATGGCAGATCACTCCAGTATCTTTGCCAAGAAAACCCCAAATGAGGTCACAAAGAGTCAGATACAACTGAAGCGACAACCACAAATACACAAATTTAATGCAGAGCAGGAGGTATAAGTGTCATGCAAAGTAAAAGAGGGAGGAGTCTTAGGCTCACAGATCCAGAATTTGAAGTGACCTGAGAGGCCATCTAGTCCAGCCTCTGCTTTTTTTTCCCTAGATGAGGAAACTAAGGCATAGGGAGATTAAGTGACTTACTTAAGGTCATATGGCTAGTGAGCATCAGAAGTAGGCTATGACTCCAGAGTCAGGGTTCTTTCCTAAGCAGAATCCCTTCTGGCTGGGTGATGAGGGAAGCCTTCTTGGAGAAGGTATCATCACAGCTGGGCTTGGAAGGATATAATTTTTGTTGTTCAGTCGTTTCTGACTCTCTATGACCCCATTTGGGATTTTCTTAGCAAAGATATTAGAGTGGTTTGCCATTTCCTTCTCTATCTCATTTTACAGATGAGGAAACTGAGACCACCAGTAGCCCAGGGTCAGGGGCCAAATTTCATTGTTTTTTTGGGGGGGGGATTTGTTAGGCAATGGGGTTAAATGACTTGCCCAGAGTCACACAGTTAGTAAGTGTTATGTGTCAGAGGTCAGATTTGAACTCAGATTCTCCTGACTCCAAGGCCAGAGCTCTATCCACTGCTCCACCTAGCTGCCCCTAGGGGCCAAATTTGAACTCATGAAGATGAGTCTTCCTGACTTCAGGTTCAACACCGTATCGACTGGGCCACCTAGCTGCTGAAGGTAGAACTTAGTCTCACCAAAATGTAAGGGAAAGGCATAACAGGAATAGGGAATGTGAAAGTGAGATAACTTCATTTGTCCGTTCTGCTAACCTGGTTATGTTTCTTTTTCCTTCCTCCCTTTCAGAGCATCAGATCCAAAGTGGAGCTGTCCGTCTGGGATAATCCTGAGGATCTTGGCCTCACCTTCATAGCCACCTGCCAAGATGGTTTGTCCTATCCAGGTCAGAGGAAATGCGGAGACCTAAAAATTGGTGACACAGTAAGTTCCCATTCCCTGGCCCATTAGGGCACTCGTAACCATCAATTATCGTTCTATAAGCTTCTGGTCTCCTTTCTAATTTGCATAAGTCCTTTTCTTAATTTACGTCCTGTCCTCCACTTTGGTATCTTCTGTGGATTTCCTGAACACAGTCTAGGGGTGGGTAACCTGTGGTCTGGAGGCCACATGTGGCCCTCTAGGTCCTCAAGGCCCCTTTGACTGAATCCAAACTCCGGGGCCTCTATTCTATCACCCCAGTCACTGGGGAAGATGTTAAAGAGCTTCAGACTCCAGACTGATACACTGTGTGCATGTCTAGATTGGTATCCTTCAGGCTGACACTGTTCCTTTAATTTTTAACCTATACTCTAAGGGTATTGTCCACTGTAAAGATTCCTGAGTATACAAGGAAAGGGCAGGAGGAAGGGAAGGTCTATTTATTGAGAGACTGTTCTGTGCCAGGCTCTGTGCTGAGTACTTTACATATATTATTTCATTTGATCTTCACAACAATCCTGGGAGATAGGTACTATTATTATCCCTACTTCACAGTTGAGAAACTGAGGCAAACAGAGGTTAAATGACTTGCCCAGGGTCTCACAGCTAGCAACTGTATGAGGTCGAATTTGAACTCAGGTCTTCCCTTTGTTGTTCTTCAGTCATTCAGTCATATCTGCTTCTTGGCAGAGAGACTGGAGTGGTTTGCCATTTCCTTCTCCAGTGTGTCCCCATTTTACAGATGAGGAACTAAGGCAAATAGGGGTTAAGTGACTTGCCCAGGGTCACACAACTAGAAAGGTGAAGCTGATTTGAACTCAGATCTTCCTGACTTCAGGCCTGGTGCTCTGTTCACTGCACCTCTTGCCTACCCTGTCCTGAAACTATCATAACCTGTAGTAGGACCTTTCAAAAACTCATAGGATGAGAGATCAAAATAGAAGGATCCTTAGAAACCATCTTTTAGTCCATCATTCATGGATGAGGAAATTTCAGTCCAGGAAGGCTTTGACTTGCCTGTAGTCATGCAGCTCTTAAGAATCAGAGGCGAAATTTGAACCCAGATCTTTGACTCCAGAACCAGTGTTCCTTATTATACCACACTACATTCCCTTAGTCTCATATAACCAAGAATACAAATAAGTGTCCGGAATGGTCTTAAGAATGCCAAAGGCAAGGGATCGGCTGACAATTACAAAAATTTTAAAGAGATTAGAAAGAGATTTGGGGGTATGTTGGGAATGAGATAAAGAAGAGGGAAGATGTTTTGGAGGTGGATGGTGGAAAGCAGGTAGTGCCCCACCCAGTGCCAAGGCGAGTGCCCTTAAATCAATCAGAGCTTAATAAATATTAGATGAATTTAATTGAAGAATAGAATTGCTCAGGAGGAAGTCATAGACAATGTCTCTTGATTTCAACAGCCATTTGCAAAACTTTTTTCTTATGATGGATGTTTAATCCAGATGGATAAAATAGTGACTTGTAGATTCTATGATAGCACTCATTGTTAGGTGAATTCCTAGCTGGCTGATCAAGTGGAATTTTTTTTAAATGCATTCATATCAACTTGAAGGGAAAGGTACCTGTTAGTGTATCCCGGGAGTCTATCTGCCCCTGTCTCTGTTAACTGGTAACTTAGATGACTATATAGATCGCATGTGTATCATATTAGCAGAAGATTCAGTGTTGAGAGGAATAGTTATTAAAGTGGATGGAAGATCAAGTTCCAAAAAGATTTCTATAAGCTAGAACTATAGGCCATGTGTAATAAGATAAAATGTGTTAGATATGAATATAAAGTCAGGAAGACTCATCTTCCCAAGCTCATATCTCACCTTAGACACTTACTGGGTGACTCTGGGCAATCACTTAACGCTACTTGCCTCAGTTTCTTCATCTGTAAAAAAAAAAGAGCTGGCGAAAGAAATGGCAAACCACTTCAGTATCTTTTCCAAGAAAACCCCAAATGGGGTCATGAAGAGTTGGACACAACTGAACTGACTGAACAACAATAAATGAATATAAAGTCCTGAACGTGGGTTAAAAAAATCAATTGTAGAAGTGCAGGAAGACCTGGCTTAATAGCATCAGTTGGTATGGAAAAGATCTGGAGTGCTTTGCTGACCACAAGCTCAAGAAAGCAATAATGCTGCTGTAAGGTACTGACACCGTCTGTGTTTTCAGAGGATCTGTGTTTTTCATCGCTTTAGGTTATTCTTTCACTGGTGTAAATCAGAGATGTAAGACACATGGACCACAGGCTGGATGCAGCCCACAACATTCCCAAGTACAGCCAGATTAAGAGACTAACAAACCAGATTAAAATGGAATTGGGAAATATTTAACAAAATAAATAAAAATATAATAAAACATAGATAATATTAAAATGTGGGTTTCTAACTCAATATGCAGCAGCCCTCCAGGATCCTTATGTATAACATAGTGGCCCCCATCCCTATATGAGATTGACCCTCTCCTCATTTTACTAAGACATTCTTGTCAAGTTAAGGGTAATCCAAAAAAGTTACCACCTTATAGTAAGGCAGTGAAGCTTTCTAAACTTGGTTACTCTGTTCTTCAGATCAACCAACTAACAAGCATTTATTTTTGTCATTCAGTCATTTGTGTCTGATGCTTTGTGACCCCACTTGAGGTTTTCTTGGCAAAGATACTGGAGTGATTTACCATTTCCTTCTCCAGCTCATTTTACAGATGAGGAAACTGAGGCAAACGGGGTTAAATGACTTACCTAGAGTCACACAGCTAGTAAGTGTCTGAGGCCAAATTTGAGTTCAGGAAGATGAATCTTCCTGACTCCAGGCCCAGTATTCTATCCACTTTGCCATCTAGTTGCCCCAAGTATTTATTAAGTGCCTACTGTGTGCCAGGTACCATGCTTAATGATGATGATACAAAGGCAAAAATGAAAGCCTTCTCTTAAGGAGCTTATGTTCTATTGGAAGATGCAATGTGTCTATATGTATATCTATATCTAAATAATTAATGTATACCATATATAATATATATACACATACATTTATACATATATACATATATATTTTTGAAAAGAGCACTAGAAGTTAGAAGGTTCAGGAAGGGATTCATGTGCTTGTGCTGAAGTCTGAAGGAAGTCAGGGCAGCTTAGAAGTCATGACAAAGAGGGAGTACATTGCATTCACAGGAAACAACTAGAGAAAAAGAAGAGAGTTGGGAGATGGAGTGTTGTGTGGGAGGAACAGAAAGAAGACCAGTTTGTCTGGATGGTAATCAATATACTGCATATTGCCTTAAAAACCCACATTTTAATATTATCTATGTTTTGTTTTATTTTATTTATTTAGAGTGTAGGAAGGGGAGAAAGAGAGATTAAATGCCAGAGACATTTTTGTTTTTCCCATATGTAATGGGTTGCCACTTGAGTTTAATGAATAGGTCGGTGACATGGTCCAACTTGTACTTAGGGACAATTCCTCTGACAGCTGTGTGAAGAAGGATAGCTTGAAGAAGGGAGATAAGGTAGAAGGCTGTATAATATAGTGCGGCCTTGAGGCCACATGTGGCCCTCTAGGTCCTCAAGTGTGGCCTTTTGACTGAATCTAAACTTCACAGAACAAATCTCCCAGGTGCCCCACCCCTGGTTTATACTATACTATACTATACTATACTATACTATACTATACTATACTATACTATACTATACTATACTATACTATACTATACTATACCATACCATACCATACCATACCATACCGTACCATACCATACCATGCCATACTGTACTGTACTATACCATACTATACTATATTATGCTATATAATATAGTAATATAGTCCAGGTGAAGGTGATGAGGGTCTGAATGTGATTATGTGGGTAGTAAGACGACATGTATGGTAGCTGTTCTGGAGGCAGAAATAATGGGATTTGGCTAGTGAAATCAAGTTAGCAAGCATTTATTGCCGGGCGCTATGCTAAGCTCTGGGTATACAAAGAAAGGCAAAAAATAATTGTTGCTTCCAAGGATCTCACCATCTAATAGGAGAGACAGCATTCAAACAAAATATATACAGGATAAAGGTGACATAGAATTAAGGACAACTGGCAAAGGCATCTTGTAGGACTTCAGCTGAGATGTAAAGGAGGCCATGGAGAGGTCCATGTAAGGAGGTAAGATTGTTGTTCCAGGCATAGGGGACAGTCGGGGAAAATGTACCAAGTCAGTGGATGGAATATCACATGCATGGAACAGCAAGGAGGCCAGTGTTACTGGATTGTAGAAGTGGAGAGATGTAGGAAGGGGCCAGTTATGGAGAGTTTTGAAAGCCAAACAGAGGATTTTATATTTAATCCTGGAGGGGACAGCATACCACTGGGGTTTACTGAGTTAGTAGAGTGCCATGATCAGACTGATTGGACATGTGGGGTGAGAGAGGGTGAGGGGTTAAAAATAACACCAAGATTGTGAACCTTGAGAAATTTCAGAAGACAGATCAGTGTCCATCTCTGGGCTTTTGTTTGAAGCTTCTTAAGCTCAGTGGGACCTGCTAGACTTTGGGCTTCCCTGGCAGAGCCTTTAAGGACTCAGAGTCACCTTCAGGCCACATTGCACAATTGTAGGAAGGCTTAAATAGAAGGAAATAGTCTTGGACTGCATTTATAGCAGTATAGTGTCCATGCTGTATTCTAGGCCTACACAACCTGCAGCCTGCAGGCCAAAAGTGGCCCGTGGCCATGCCAAAGGATTTCCCGGCACACAGAAAAATGTAAGGGATGTTTTCCCCTACATATTTCACAGGTCTTCCAAAATCTTTGGCGGGCCCACAGGTTGTGCAGGCCTGCTGTATTCTATGTTGGTTGGACTAGACAACAAGCATTTATTAAGTGCTTACTATGTGCCACATACTGTGCTAAGCACTGGGAATAGAAATACAGAGCGTCCCAAAAGTCTTGGTGCAGGTGTAAGCTTTAATAGCTATTTGATATTAAAGCTATTGAATAGCTATTAA